TCTGTTAAGCTCTTTTACCCCCTCATTTCTTCCATTTGTTTTAGCATCTCTATGCTGTAGACTAATGTTCACAGTGTCTTATGACATCCATTTTGGTCTTTTCTTTTGTTCCTGTCCTTTAATGACCTTTTGCTTTCTTCATGTATGATGTTCTTGATGTCTTCTCACAACTCTTCTGATCTTTGGTCATTAGTGTCCAATGCATCAATTCTGTTATTGAGATGATCTCTAAATTCAGGTGGGATATGTTTAAGGTCATATTTTGGCTGTTATGTACTTGTTCTAATTTTCTTTGGCTTCAGTCTGAACTTGCATATGAGCAGTTGATGGTCTGTTTTACAGGCATCCTGGTCTTCTTTTTGCTAATGATATTGAACTTTTCTATCATCTCTTCCCACAGATATAGTCAATTTGATTCCTATGTATTCCATCTGGTGAGGTCCACGTTAATAATAGCGTATTATGTTGTTTTTTTAAAGGAATTTGCAGTGAATAAGTCATTGGTCTTTCAAAATTATATCATGTGGTCTCCAACATCAATTATATTGCTACAGACTTATTTTCCAACTACTGACCCTTCCTCGTTCCCAACCTTTGCATTCCAATCACCAGTAATTATCAATACATCTTGATTGAGTATTTGATCAATATCAGACTGAAAAACTTAGTAGAATTCTTCAATTTCATCATCATTGGCTTTAGTGGTTGGTTCACAAATTTGAATAATAGTGGTATTAATTGGTCTTCCTCGTAAGCATATTGATATTATCCTATCACAGACAGCTTTGTACTTATAGATCTTGAAATGTTCTTTTTGATGATGAATGTGATGCCATTCCTCTTCAATTTGTTATTCCTAGCATAGTAAGGCGTATGATTGTCAGATTCAAAATGTCCAATACTAGTCCATTTCAGTTCACTAATACTTAGAATGTTGATCTTTATACATTCCATTTCATTTTTGACAACTTTCAATTTTCTTAGATTCATACATTCTATTTTATGATTATTAATGGGTATTAATGGAGTCCTGGTGTGGCACTGTGGGTTAATGTGTTGGACTGCAAAGTCGTTTAAACTGCAGGGTTGGCGGTTCAAGCTTACCAGCTGCTCCTCGGAGACCTTATACAGGGTCGCTATGGGTCAGAATCAACTCTATGGCACTTAACAACAACAACAATGGGTATTTATAGCTATTTCTCCTTATTTTGAGTTCTCCTCCATCAACAAATGAAGGTCCTGAAATCTTTCTCCATTATCGTCATCACAATCAACTCTACTTTGAGGAGGCAGCTCTTCCCCAGTCGTGTTTTGAGTGCCTTCCAATCTGAGGGGCTCATATTCTGGCACTAAATCTGACAATATTCTAGTGCTATTCATACCATTTTCACCTTCCGGACATGTATCTTATAATGTTCTGTTGCTATTCATAAGGTGTTCAGTAGCTAAACATTGAGATGTAGTCCACCTTTCCTTCTTCTTAATCTGTTTTAGTTTGGAAGCTCTGCTGAAACCTGTCCACCATGGGTGCCCCTGATGGTATTTAAAAGACCAGGGGCATAGCTTCCAGCATCACAGCAACATGCAGGCCACCACAGTGTGACAAATGAGAGCTGAGTGGTGGCAGGGATTAAATAGTTTTAGCAAATCTATGGAAAGGTGAAACTTTTACCAAGTTGTATGTCACTGTAGGATAAAGCACTGGACCAAAAGGTCGGTTTGAACCACAAGGTTCGCAGTTTGAACTCACCAGCCGCTCCTTGGTAACTCTAAACAGGGTCACTATGCGTTGGAATCAACTTGACAGCACTTAACAACAGCAATCATAAATATAACACTGATTTTGTTCTTAGGACTCAGGCAGACATTGTTCTGATGACATGTTTGTGTGTTTCTCACTTTTTTGTGTGTGATCATATGCCAAATATAATCTTTTTCTTCAGTCATTGTGCTGAGTTTACTCTAGGACAGAAGTAAGGTCATGTGCCTGCTCAATTGTCACAGGTCTCAGGAATGTCAGAGTATTAAATTTTCTGAGAAATAGTTTTCTAAGAACTTTGTAAAGTAACCTAAGAGGCTTACTTACAAATTAGCAAACAAAACAATAGAACAGTAGGTTAAGGAGTACTGGTGTTGCACTGAAGGATAAGCACTCAACACAAGACGGGTTTGACCCCAAGGTAGGTGGCTGAAACTCAGCAGCCACTTCTTGGAAACTCTATATAGGGTTACTATGAGTTGAAACCTACTTGGTGGCACTTACACCAACACAACAACAACAAAGGAAAAAGAATCCTGGTGTAACGCTGTTCGATAAGCATTGGACTGCTAACTTAAGGTTGGTGGTTCAATTGGACCAGGCATTCCTCGAAACCCCTATATAGGACTGTTATGAGCTGGAACCAACTAACAGCACTTAACAACAACAAAAGAAAAAATATTAAAATTACTGTTTGAGTTTTATATATTTTGAGGTTTCTCCTTTGCTGATGAAGAAGTCTCGGTGGTGCAGACGGTTAAGCATTGGGCTGCGAACTAAAAGCTTAGTGGTTCAAACCCACCCACTGCTCTTCTGGGGAAAAATGAGGCTGTCTGCTTCGCTAACGATTTGCAGTCTTGAAAATCTTATGGAGTATTTTTACTCTGCCCTGGTGTGGCACTATGGGATACCACAAGGTTGGTTTGAACCAAAGTTGGCAGTTCAAATTCACCAGTCTTGGAAACCCTATACAGGGTCACTGTGAGTCGGAACCAACTCAATGGCACTTAACAACAACAACATAGATAAGGAAGCCATGAGTTAGAAAGACTATAGCAGTGGGTTTGATTTGGGGTTTTCTTTGCTACTGCTGTAGTGGGGAGGGGGGCCTCTTGAACCCTGTTTCAAGGTAAAAGAGAGAGGTTTATTAAAGGGTTTAAAGGAGGATTCTGACTAGAGAACTTCATGTTTCATCAAATGAAACCACGAAGTCAGAGGCACAATAATTACATAGATGTTTATATGTTGTTGTTGTTAAGTGCCATTGAGTCTGTTCTGATCCATAGCGACCCTGAATAGGGTTTCCGAGGAGCAGCTGGTGAGCTTGAACCACCTACCTTGAGGTTCAAACCAACCTTGCAGTCTAGCGCATTAACCCACAGTGCCACACCGGGACTCCAGATGTTTATATTGTTGTTGTTGTTGTTGTTAAGTACCATGGAATCGGTTCCGACTCATAGTGACCCTGCACAGGGTTTCCGAGGCTGCAAATCTTTATGGGAGCAGAAAGCCTCATCTTTCTCCCGCGGAACAGAACAGCTGGTAGTTTCGAACTGCCGACCTTGAAGTTAGCAGCCCGATTTGTAACCACTATGCTACCAGAGCTCCAGGATTTAAAATATTCGGAAGTTGAAAGCGAGCTTTTTCACAATGGAGTTGTCATTGATGGGGCTAAATGATATAGTACAGACAGCTGGGTTTGCAGATCCGTAACACAATGTCAGGATAGGGCCAGTTCTGAAATCAGATAGCCAACAGGTTGCTAGATATTGGTTAACCCATCTTAAGACGTAGGTTTCCTGAGAATATATAAAATCAAACAAGATTCCAATGTAAAGCAATCGTAGATATGGTTACTGATACTATAAATTTATGGGGAAAGACAACCTCATCTTTCTCGTATGGAGCGGCTGGTTGGTTTAAACTGCCAATCTTGCAGTTAGCAGTCCAGTGCTTATCCTAGAAGGCCAACAGGACTCCTTGGTAATGTATGATGGTTGTGTGCCGAGGAGTCGATTCCGACCCATAGACAGCAGCCCAGCTCCAGCTACAAGGGTGTATAGTGCAGGCATTTCTGAAGAATGTTACATATACATCAAACTATTGTTTTAACATGGTAAGACAAGCTGAAAATAACTCATTTACAATATATTTTTCTGAGCACATTCTACACAGGGTTTTTCAAATAACCTTTGGAGTCTCTCGATCCACTCTGGGACAAGATGCCATCGAAGTCCTAGATGAGTCATTTTACTTTTGCCAAGTGATTTATTTTAAATGTTTTGGTCATTGCCCAGAGACCAATCTTGCGGCATTCCAGGTTTTCTACAGTCTTGGGTAGCAGAAAGCGCAATGGATGGTGGGACTACCAACTTAGCTAAACCAGAAAGAGCTGTCCGCCACCGACTTTCCTAGGGAGCTGCCAGTCTCCACCCGAGCCGGAACACTGTCCTTTCGGGGCCGGAAGGCGGGACTGCGCGACGCGCGCGCAGGCCCGGAAGTCCCACCCGACTGAATTTTATGTGTCTCAATCCTCTATCCTCTTTAAGGAGCTGTGGTAGCGATTCTCTGGGTGGGATATGCCCTTTTGGCGGGCAGTTATGATGTCATTAGGCCTTGTTGGGTTGCTACCACACTACCACAATAAATAGGCTTTTGGGCTCTAAGAAGAGCGTGAAGGGGCGGGGCACCGTGTGCCCGGAAACAGCGCGAAGTGCTTGAAAGTTGCAACTCGGGATCGCGCGCGTTTAATCGTAGCAACGGTAAAACGGAAGTCCAGTTCCAGCCAGAGCCCGGTGTCGCGGCGGAAACTGTTCTTCCTTGAGCAGTAACCCGGTACCTTTGCGTCTTGGTGGCTTGGGGCTTGGATGCCCGGAGCAAAGAGGGAGCACCCTTACCTGGTAAGAGGACAAAGGGGTATTTGGCGCTCACCTCTAGCCGCCTTGGGGAACAAGAACCCACCGTGAACGCTACCACAACGACGAAAACGTTCTTTTATTTTCTTACCCAACATGTCTTGAAAATAGATTAATACATCGCATTCCAGTGTACTACTGAACATCTAATTCTCACAGCGCATTTTGCTACAAAAAGAACTAGTCTCCGAATTCTGTTACGCAGCTGAGCATAATATCAAGCATAAAACTGTTTTTTTTTTTTTTTTTTTTCTGTAGTTGGACCAAGAATAAGGTTACTTTTCTTTCAGGTGTTGATGTTGAATAGCCTTTTTAGCATATTAAAAATGGCTGTACCTAAAGACGCCATCCCTTCCTTGTCGGAATGCCAGTGCCTGATCTGCATGGAAATCCTAATTGAGCCGGTAACCCTCCCTTGTAACCACACGCTCTGTAATCCGTGCTTTCAATCGACTGTTGAAAAGGCAAATTTATGTTGTCCCTTCTGTCGCCGCCGGGTCTCTTCGTGGACTCGGTACCACACCCGAAGAAATTCTCTTGTCAATATGGAACTGTGGAACATAATTCAGAAATACTACCCCAAAGAATGCAAGCTTAGAGCCTGTGGACAAGAATCAGAAGAAATCGGTGAGTAAAACCTAGCGTGGGGTTTTATTTCCCTTTTTGTCAAAAAAAAAAAAAATCCTTTTAAAAAGAAATCCCCATCGCAGTTAAAATGTTTTAATAATAAAAACCATTAGTATTTAGCCAAATTGTGCTCTGGGTTTGACTTCTATGAGTCCTAAAATGTCTGTGAGATCAAGGGCAAAATTTATTTTAATATGCTTGAATTTGTCACTTAGAAATTTTTTATTTTTGACTGGATTCAGATTTAGAGGTAGAAGCTCTCGAAAAGGTCAGCCTCCTTCTCTGGCAATCTGTTCCTGGTTTTCTTTGGCCTCCTTCATTCTCTTGATTAAAAGCTTAGCATATTCTGTGGCCTTATTTTTTCTTAGTGTGATGTTTCTTCACAGCAGTACGCCAACGTTGTGTTTGCAGGACACCTGAAGTAACAAGATGCTAAATCTTGGGTGATTTTGTCCTGGATTTTTGCATTTATTCAAGTGCTTTCTTACTGGCTAACATAGTTCTCTGTAGAGATGGAAAATGTTGCAGTTCTGCTAGCTCCTTTGGGTCTTACCTATACCATGAGGCACTGCCGTATCCATCAGTCTTGGGGTTTCCTCCTACATCAAGGGCAAGATTTTTTCTTTATTTTAATGCCCAGGCAGTGGGAATTACATGCATTATATGCCTGTTGTTGTGTGCCATCTAGGCAGTTGGTGTTTATTGTATTCAAAATGAAACACACACAAGCATTGCAATTTAGAGCCTCAGTCATAGGAGTTAGATAATATTCACAGGTGAGTAGGAGTAAAGGAGTTTCAGGTTTCCTGTGTTAATATTTCTGTTCACTTAGAATCCTGGTTTGGCGCTGTAGGTTAATGCGCTGGACTGCAAAATCAGTTTGAACTTCATGTTCACCAGCCACTTCTCAGAAACCCTATACAGGATCGCTATGGGTCGGAACCTACTCGACGGCACTTAACAACTCCACTCACTTAGTTATTAAACGTGAAGTGAGACTAAGATAGATAGCTTTCTGTTTCTAATTTGATTTAGGTCCATCATTTTTATTCAGAGCCCCTGACAATGTGGACTCCACAGTTACTCTCTGTGCCCAAAAATGAACCCATGACTCTTTAACAGTTTGTCTCCACTAATGTGATCAATAAACCACGTGGTGTTTACTATATAGTCTTCCAGTTTGATGCCTGTGCTCTTGGGGTACCTCATTTTGTATCTCAAGTTGCTTGTAAAATAACTGTACTGAGAAACTTAGTATTTAAACAACTCTAGAATAGTCCCCGTGTGATGCTGTAGGATAAGCACTGAACTGCAAGTCTGTTTGAATTGCAAGGTTGGTGGTTCAGACTCACCATTCACTTCTTGAAAACCCTATATAGAGTTGATATGAGTTGGAATTGACTCTATGGCACTTAGCAAGAACAAAAAGATTACTTTGTAAAACAAATAATCACAACCAAATTTGCCAATTTTTTATGGAGTTGGGTTGTTAGAAACTGTTAGATTGTTTCTTTTGTTTAGGAGGGCAAGGTGTATTTGTAATTTGTGAAAGCTAGACTGGGATGTATCCTTCATAAGTAAAATGTTGTTGTTAAGTACCATCCAGTCGGTTCAACCCATAGGGACCCTGTGTAGGTTTTCTGAGGAGCAACTGGAAGCTTGAACCCCGACTTTGCAGTCCAACGCATTAACCCACAGTGCCACACCAAGACTTCTAGTTTGCAATTACGAATACATTATTAAGATGTTAGGGAGTCCTGGTATGGCGCTGTTGGATCAGCGCTGCACTGCTAGCCGCAAGGTTTGCGATTGAAACCCAACTGCTCCTTGGAAATCCTATACAGAATAGCTACAAGAACTTACTCAACAGCACTTAACAGCAGCATTACGATGTGGAGGAGCTAGTCTACAAAATAAAAAATGACTTATTTTGTTCAAAAGTTTTAATTTGCTATTTACTAGGAATTCCCATGTATAAATGTGAACATTTTAAGGGCGTTTCAAGATCAACAATGACACATGAATTATTCTTTCTTAGAATAAAATTGTTATATTTTATCAGATAATATAATAAGCATTGTTACATAATGGACTCAAATGTTGATTGTATGATTTTCACCTTGAAATGCTTTGTATATGATTATCCTTATACTGTGTATGCTCCACTAAAAGTTTAAACAAAAAAGTTTTACTGTAAGATACAAAAAACAAAGCATTTGATGAAATGGGGAGATATGCAAGTACCGAGCCAAAGTGTTTCCAAGTATCCAGCTCAGTGTTTTGAATTGCAGAGAATGACAGCAGTTTTTATCTGGTAAAACAAACAATAGGACTGTGCTTCACAGACAGAAGGGTTTTATAAGGTTTTGTTAAATTAATATGAAACTCTTTAACATCTGTTACAGTGAGATTAGTTATATCAGTAATATATCAGTAATAATTAAGGCAGTGTTCTGTCACAGCTGAGACCTTTTCCATATATTAAGGTAGCAGTTCATGTTTTAGGATTTACAAAACGTCAAAGGAATAAAGCAAAGATTTCAGTGAATGAAGTCTTACTTGGGGTAGTCAGGAAATCATACAGGGGCTTTGGTAATTGATGTGTGATTCATCTTGGTTACAGAGTTATGGTTGTTGTTATTGGTAAGTGCTATTGAGTATATTCTGACCCATAGCAACCCTGTATAGGGTTTCCAAGGAGCAGCTGGTGGGCTTGAACGACCAACCTTGCAGTTCGAATGACTTTGCAATCTGATGCATTATGGTTGTTGTTAGTTGCCATTGAGTCGGTACCAACTCATAGCGACCCTTTGAACAACAGAACGAAACACTGCCCGGTCCCGAGCCAACCTCACAATTGTTGCCACCCTTGAGCCCATTATGCGCCATTTTGCCAAACCATCTCTCTGGGGCGGGGGGTCTTCCTCTTTTTCACTGACCCTCCACCTTACCAAACATAATATCCTTCTGCAGCGATTGGTCCCTCCTATCAATAAGTCTGAAGTTTGAGAGACGAAGTTCGGCAATTCTGGCCTGCAAGGAGCACTCTAGCTGCACTTTGTCCAACACAGATCTGTTGGGTTTTTGGGCAGCCCATGGAAATATCAATATTCTCCTCTGACACTGTAGCTCAAAAGCATCAGTTCTTCTATGGTCTTCCTTATTCACTGTCCAGCTTTCTAATGCATGTGAGGTTATTGAAAATACCATGGCTTGGGTCAGGCACATCTTAGTCTTCTTTTTTTTTATATATATTAAATGTTTTTATTTTGGATTGAGTGAAAGTTTACAGGGCACATCATCAGCTTCACATTCAAC